AGACACACTAGCCTGCTGCAAAAGCAGACCCTGGGTCTGACCCATGCCTCGAAAGCTGCAGACTTAACTGAAAACGGCTTAGCAAGTGTTCCTGTCTCTATCACCCAGACACCCATCTCCCAATGGGATCCAAACCCCAAATAAATCGGTTTTACTCTGTATAAAGCGTATACAGGGTAAACTCATAAATTGTCCGCCCTCTATAACAATGATAGAGAGATATTCACAGCTGTTTGCTCCCCCAGGTATTAATTGCTTACTCTGGGTCAATTAATAAGCAAAAGTGATTTTATTAAGTATAAAAAGTAGGATTTAAGTGGTTCCAACTAATAACAGACAGAACAAAGTAAGTTACCAAGCAAAATAAAACAAAAAATGCAAGTCTAGGCCTAATACATTTAAGAAACTGAATACAGGTAAATCTCACCCTCAGAGATGTTCCAATAAGCTTCTTTCACAGACTAGACTCCTTTCTAGTCTGGGCCCAATCCTTTCCGCTGGTAGAGTCCTTGTTCCAGCTCAGATGGTAGCTAGGGGATTTCTCATGACTTCAGCCTCCTTTGTTTTGTTCCACCCCCTTATATAGCTTTGGCACAAGGCGGGAATCTTTTGTCTCTCTTGGTTCCCACCCCTCCTTCTAAATGGAAAAGCACCAGGTTTAAAATGGATTCCAGTACCAGTTGACATGGTCACATGTCCTGTGAGACCCCAAGCTTCCATTCTTTCCAGACTGGCTTACAGGGACACAGGAAGGCTTACAAGTAACAGAGCCATTTACAACCAATTGTCCTAGTTGATGGGAGCCATCAAGATTCCAAACCAACATTAATGGCCCACACTTTGCATAATTACAATAGGACCTCAGAGTTATATTTCATGTTTCTAGTTTCCTATACAAGAATTATACATTTATACAAATAGGATGACCTCACTCAGTGGATTATAAGCTTTGCAATACCTTACAAGAGACCTTTTGCATGAAGCATATTCCAGTTACATTATATTCATACTCATTAACATATTTTCATAAAATCATATGGAGCGCAATGTCATAGTGGGTACATTTAAAAAGGGATAAACTATTACAGAAAATATTCTACTGACACTATCAATCGTACATCCCCAAGAGGCATTTACTTTATCTAGTTTTGGTTGCTTCTATAATGAACACTCTGGACAATAATAAAAATTTTTACTATCCTGAGGCACCAATCAGGATGGTACAAGGCACTATCCCAACACATGAGAAGATGCAGACCCTGTCTTGAAGAGCTTACAATTGTTGGGTGAGAAGGTTACAATAAATAATTTATACATATTTTTCTAGAAAGAGACAACTATGTCAGGAAATTATTATTATTCAGAATTTCTTGTGCTATTGAGCTGATAGAGTGCTCCACAAAGTTACTGGAATTTTGATTTTCTGTTTTTTGAGTGTTTAATTGAAATGTCAATTTTGGCCTCACTACCTTAAAAACAATGTAGCAGAGGTTGGAAAGTTCCACAGAAGGAGCATCAACAAAGGGTTAAAATACAACAATGCTTGCATATGAAGACAAGACTGACAAAGCTTGGATTATTTATTCTGCAAAGCAGAAGGATCAGAGGGATGTTGACTGTGATTGTGAAAGGTATACTGAAAACTGATCAGGCTCTCTTTTCTATGTGATCAAATAATATGAGCATAAGGGGGCCATTCTATTAAATTAATGTGCATCACATTTACAAAAATGAAATGGTACTTTACACAACTAGCGAACCTATAAATTTCACTAACACAGAAGGTCATCAAACCAAAGCTCTGGCTGGATAATATTAGTAGCTATTCCACCTAAGATTATAAAAGTAATCAAATGATATGCTTCAGGGCATAATCTGATTGCTTATGGTAATCAGGAATAGATTTCCCTTCCCCATGTGCAGCATTGCACAAATAGCTGAGGGTGTCTTTTTCATCTTACCCTGAAGCCTCAGGTGTGGGTAGGATACTGGACTAAATAGATAAATGCACTGACCTGATATGGCAAATCCTATGTTCCTGATGGCACCTTAAGCAATTTCAGATGCCAAAATCTGTAGTCTTCAAAACAGATTGTATCTGCAAAAGCCAGCTGCAACCCATGGTCTGTCAGACTGGAATTCTCCCTTCTTTTCCTCCCCACTGCCTGCTACCATTTCTGTTTAACAGTTTCAAATACCATGTGTATATGCACTTCTGTGTATAATGTGTGCATGTGTGTGTGTACCTGCGTTGAGAGAACATTTCCTCATGTAACAATTGTCATGTCTCCTAGTTTGACCTTCTAAAATACTATCAGCATAAATACTTCTTTACTGTATTAATATTCATTGTTTGGGGGGATATGGGAGCTGCTAGGTACCCAACACTTTTGAAAATCAGGCACTTATTTAGGTGCTTAAATATGGAGTGAGCATAACTGGACTTTAAGCACCCACTACTGTTAAGCTTGGACCAATTGTACTAAGGTCCAGTTTTAGAAAGCACCACTGAGAAACATGTACCTGATATTTTGCCTCTTTTTTTTGTCTGTATTATGCGTACAGCATGGGCCTCACTTTCATCTCCAAAATGTAACAACTTGGTCTCATTTTTAATTGCAAGATGGACAGATATGCTTTCTAAAAGTTGTATTTAACTTAATCAAAAGTGAATAACTGAAATTTGTCATAACTCCTATAGTTGTTTCCTTGGACTGTCATTGTATCTGCTTGAATCAGTTCTACCCACACATATAGTAAAGTGGTTTAAAGTCTTTAGAGGGAATGCTTGGTGGAATTGCAAAGTGGTGTTATTATTATCTAATATGTAAGTCTGTCACCATATCTCAGTGGGTCACAGCTGAGAATGCCAGATTCAGGACAAACTCCTGAAAAATAGAGCAGACTCACCCCAAACTGGTGGTTATTCTATCATTAGATTATACCAAGCCAGTAACAAAAGTAAAGTTCTGTTTTGCCACATTGGTTAACAATAAGTCAAAAATGCAGTCTCCTTAGGCATTCCAGCCTTTGTCTCACCACCCAGACACTGGGCTTTACAATGAGTGGTTACTGAAAACCAATTTAATCAAATATAGGGATCTTCCAATGTCAAGAGATCAGCCACTTAGCCCGGTCAATATATAACTCAGATCTTACCCAATAATCACACTGCTGCCAATCCTTGAGTGACTAAAATCTAAACGATTATTAATAAAATAAAAGATGAAAAGAGTTTAAAATGGTTAATCATATACATACAATAATTGCAAAGTCCTTATATCAGGTTTGTAGCGGTGATGTTATAGACTGCTGGCTTGTAAAGTCTCTGCTAACTCCCAAAAGATTGGAAGGTCCTCAGTCCATAGTGCAATATGCTCCTTTTAGTTGTAAATCCACAGTCCAGAGAATCAGGGCAGGAAAGAGGCAAAATGGAGATATCTCAGAGGTCTTTTATACCCTTTGCCATATGCCTGTAAATTTACTAACTCAAACACAGCTCACAACCTCAGTTTGTGGAAAGTTACTGGCCTAAGATGGAGTCCAAAGTCACATGAGCATATCACATGTCCTTACATGCTTTGATGACTCTTAGATGCAGCCATTTCCCATATCCGTGATGAAGTATCCACAAGAAGACTTACTGGATGGGATGAATTTACTGTATGGCCCATTGTTAGAGTGAAGTGTCCTTAATAGGCCATCAAGCTTAAATAGTCAAATCACAATGGGCTGGAGAGACTGGATGTAAACTACCTTGTGGGTGTTACCCCAGGAACAAACACATTTGAGATATATTTCAGAGGGGTAGCCATGTTAGTCTGTATCAGCAAAAACAACAAGGAGTCCTTGTGGCACCTTAGAGACTAACAAACTTATTTGGGCATAAGCTTTCATGGGCTAAAACCCACTTCATCAGATGCATGGAGATATAGATACATAGCCAATATTCATAACTTCAGATACAGTGATGATACATGAATTTAAACAGGATGATCTTATTTAGCAAAAAATAATGTTTCCATTGACACCTTAGATGGCACACTTTGCACAAGTCCTGTTGCAACTGTACAACAGCGGCAACATCAATGACACAAATGGTCATTTTCAGTCATCAAAAAGTCATATGAGTATCAGAATATTTGTCCTAAATATATTCTATCTAGAGATCTTTTGGCTCCATTAGGAGCTTGAAGAAGAGCCCTGCAATGGGTGGGAGAAGAGGAAACCAAGGCACCCATTTAAAATTCACTGTTCACATAGCATCTTCTTGATTTTGATAGGTTAAAATTGGAGCTGGGCCTGAGCCAGGACCTCACATTTAAACATTCTTTTCTCTCATGCCCCCTGTATAAAATTTTCAAGGGGATTCAGATTGGAATTTCTTGATATGAACCCACCACTTAGGTTTTGGTTCTGGTTTGAATCCAAAACTGGAAGGAAGGGGTCTAACATTTGAAAGAATGAGGCTTGGATGTGTGCCTAGGTGACTGCAATCTCACTAGAACGCTCATTCCTATGAATTTTCAGTCATTTGAAGCCATTTTAGGTGCTTTTGAATCCAGACCTGAACTCTAGTCCTGGTTTCACCTCAAACCTAACCCCCAAAGATAACCTAAATGAATCTGTATCTGAACATCACCTCTCTGCCGGTTTCTGGTTAAAACAACCAGTACTGACTGTAACAAAGACAAAAGCTGATTTATATAATAACTTTTAATGTGGTTTAACTTTCCTGCCTATGTCTGTGGAAATGAAATGATAATGGCTACAGGCTTTACAAATGCTAAGCAGTAGCAGATGATTCTATGGTCTGAATGAAGACTATTTCAGATGAAGAGAACAGTATGACATCGAAGTGTCCTATCATCAAGAGAAAAGGACACACACTTCAGCTCTTTACAGACACTATTGTTATAGTTACTATACTGTCACTGGGTATGCCACTTCAAAATATTGTCTTTGTTATTTCCTTACATCATTTTATTTTGTTCTTCTAGGTCACTGGGATGCATTTTGCATGAGATGTGCTGTCTGGATCATGCATTTACTGGACACAATTTTTTGTCTATTGTGCTAAAAATCGTGGAAGGCAACACACCTTCTCTTCCTGACAGATATCCAAGTAAACTGAACACAGTCCTCCACAGGTTTGTTGTTCTCCGGCTTATTATATATGTTCAATTATTTTCAAAATAATTGAGTTAGCTTTCTTCATTTCATTTCTAACATTTCAGCATGCTGAACAAGGATCCTTCTCTGAGACCATCTGCAGCAGAGATTCTAAAAATCCCCTACATTGATGAACAATTACAGGTATTTAAAGTGAAAAAGCAATAGACATACACTTAACATGCAAATATGTATGTTGCAAAAATGCACTGAAATAGAAGAACATTTGATGAGAAGAAATGACTCAGAGAGGAATCCATGCAAATTTGAGATAGAAATTTTCTTTACAAATGATGGTGGGAAACAAAGCTCTTGTCACCACATCCTCTAGAAAGGGGACTGGGGGAATGAGTCTGCTCAGCATGAAATTTTATAAGCAATAAAGAGACATTCATTTATATATTGCAAACTTCTGAGATCATTGGGGGTGAGAAGGTATGAGGAATCTCTACTCTGTTCCACTTGGCCAATGGCCAAGAGGTATCCAAATATTTAATGAAAAACAACACATTCTAGTAAACAACTTGCTTTTCTGTTTTGTAGTCTTGCAAAAGGGTATATTATTTCTAGGCTTTATGGGAAGAGGGACAGAAAAGTTGTTAAAACATTTTATATTGGGACTGTACCAAATATTGGATCATAGATGAAGATGTTGGGTCACTGCATTACTATAATTTGTTGGTTTTGCTGCTGTTGTTTTTTTTAGCAGAATGTCAAATGCAAATTCACAAATATGGCTCTGAAAGACAAGACATTTATTTGTCAGAAAGAAGCTGCTTGCATCGTTAATGCTGTGTAAGTACTGCAGTGTTTTTATTAGTAAAAAGTACTACAAGGGAAAGAGTTGCTAAATGCATTCATATTTTAAACATTTATTTAAATTAAACTCATAAGACCAATTTTTTAAAAGGGATCTGTGCTAAAAAATACACATGCTGATGTACACCTACATTTTTAAAGCGCTTTGAGATCTATGGTGAAAAGCACTGTATGAGATCTAAGAATTCTTATTTCTATGTGCAAATCCATAACAGCATGTACACATTGGTTAATTGTGCATGCACACAGGGTATTTTTACATGCAAATATAGTACCTGTTGTACATGTAATTAAATTATTCCTGCTCACAAATACAAGTTAATGCACATTTTTTACATGTGGTCCTCAGATTTGTACCTTTTGAAAGATTAGGTCATGATTTGAAGTATGTTATGATTCAGTTATGCATTGTGTAGTTTGTGACTACAGTAATATCAAAGCTTTTTTTCTACATGGTTTCAAACTGAAGACATAAACATTTAAACTAATATTCAGTATGCAGGCCTGTAGAATATCATTGTAGTTGCCTTTTAACTATATTGAGAAATTAATAGTAATCATATTTATTGGATCTTACTCTAATATGCATTGGACGTTACCTATCAGATAATTCTATGATATTAAAGATATTTAATTTAAACAGTATTAAACTACAATACTGCAATGATTAACACAAATTTCAGTGCTGATAATTTCATTCTGCCTTCTTACATTACCCCTGCAGTTTCAGTTAGATCTGGCATTCCACTTCACTTCCTGTCCCTAGATTTTGTGTCGTATTGCTTTGCACTATTAAACAGCTGCTGTTTTCCTGCACAAAGGTGGCAGTAATTCACGGTTGGGCGAAGTGATGCACATTCCTCGTCTCTTACTTGCCTCCTGGTTTTTTATGAGGCTTAATTAATTATTTGTAAATTTCTTTGAGATCCTCAGATAACAGGCAATACAGAAGTGCAAGTTATTATTATCCCTTGTAATCATATCACAAGCAATATAATACAAATCAAACAAATAGATGGACATAAACATTCATAAAATATTACAGGAAGCTCCCATTGCTTCACATTTATTACTCAGATTTGTCATGGGACCCATGTAAGAGTGAATTCATAGCTCTTCAGAGGAGATATGTTTGTTTGGTAGTGGAGAGTTATGCTCCTAAACGTGATCGGCACAACATGCAGACAAGGTTTCAATGTCCAAAAAGTGTTTGAAATGTGTTAGCTGAAATACATACTGAAGCATAAAGTATTTGAAATATCAGGGATGCGATTTTCAGTCCTGGCCTTCATTTTGTGGACACCATTTTTCACCTCCATTGAACTGCACACTCCATTTTAAACTTAAATCACACTTTTTCTTGGTTATTTATTTGGGGCCAAGAATTGTGGGTGCAGCTTATTATGGGAGCAATGTTACACCTGAAAAATGGAAAATCAACCTCCAAATTTCCAAGTGTTTCCAGGATGGACTGATCATACCTGGAGCCTACCGTTGAAGGAATACAATAAGTTCCAAAGGCGTTTCATTGGATCTGGTTTAAATATATTGAAACAGATCACCTTTCTAATTGACTTTATGTATGGACAGAATTGGCATATACAGAGAGAGAGTGTCTTTATTCTGTGGTCAGTAACTCCTTGCATCCATTCAGCACTGATGGGTCTGTGATCTTCCTCAACACAAGGAACATGTTCTAAGTGTTAACAAGTTCTTTGCATGAATCTATAGAGAAATTCTTGATTTCTGTGACAAATAACGATTTACTTTTTGATAAACCTTTCTATAAATACCCATTCCTTTTCCATGTGTCCTTATGCAGTGGAGCTTTTCAAACACTCATTTCTAGGAAAAGGTGCATACAGTTTTGAAGATTTTCTCCTTGCATTTATGTTTGTTCTATATGAAAAGTCAGTTTCTCTTGGCAGTGATGATCTCTATTTTCAGAGGCCCAGAGTTCCCATAAAATGCAGCACAGTACAGATCATCTATTTTTGGCAGAGTTTAAAAATTTATCCTTAAGCTTTTCAAATCAAAGGCAACTGTTTTTTGTTTTTAAATAACCCTTATCATTAAATATAAACCCTCCCAGAAATATGCTATATTCTGAGTCAGTTGGGTTAAGTCTTCAGAATATGTATGAAAATAATATGTCTGAATCTAATTACAATAATATATAAAGGTTTTAAATAAAATTCGGATGAGATCATTAAAAATCTGTATTGCAATTGTTAAGCAAAATGCCAAAGAGACAGATTAAAAAAAAATCTGGAAAGTGTTGTCATTCAAAAAGTCAAAGGACAACAATTTAAACTTGAAGGCTGTATAATCCTAAATTGCTATAAACTTGAAGCTGTATTTCAGTTTTGGAAGTCCTTGCCAGGAGCTGCTCAATGTACATCCTTCCCAACCACTTTGTCATTCTACATCTGTGTATTTTTTTCTTTCCATGAATTGTTTATATATCAAGCCCAGCCTAGCTTTATGTTTTCTAATAAAAGTCCATAATAGTTTACTGCAGTTCTACCCAAGTCATAAATTTAAATATTTAAATAAACATAAAGCTCTACAAATTCGCTTTCAACTTGGAAGAAAAATGGCTTTGTTATCCCAGAGGATTTTGTATTATGAATCCCAGCTCTGTTATAATGCATAAGAAATATGTCTAAATTATTCATTCTTAAAGGATTTGTTCCAAATTGCTTAATAACTGAAATCTTCTTGTCTTTGTCTTCAGTGTCATGTTTCCCAATACCACTGAGATTCTTCTAATATTTTCCTCCATAGACAACATTTGAGAAATATGGTGAAAATATCTCTACCTGCATTGTAAACATTCTGATGTTTCCCAAGATAATAGGCCATGGGGAACTATGTGATTTATTGGGACATAAAATTAAGCTCTTAGATGATCAAAGTAGATGATGACTTAGAAGCTAAATCTTGAATCTTGAGAGTAAGAGTAACAATTTGAAATGAATATTGCGCACCATAAATTCCAATACTCTAAACTTTTGGTTTACATGGAAGTCATAATGTATGACTGCAGTTACATTTTTATAATCACTGTAGGCTGTAAAATAGTCTGGGATCTGTACAGTTTTTTCAAGCATAGGACATGTATTGGTCTCTTATGTTTATGGCTACAGTTGAGATCTGGAATAGGTGAGTTAGTAATTCATGCTTAGCTTTCAGGGGAGATCTATGAAAACCATTTGAGCCATGAAAAAACCACTACTATTCTGTGGGACCAAGTAGTGAATAACAGCAGACAGCATTTACAAGGAAGTAAATGATTATTATAAAAGCTCATTAAAGGAGCATTAACATTTTCTTCTTTTATACTGGTTTAAAATTGATTATTAAAAAAATCTGGTTGGTATTGTTATCAGTTGCTTTAATTTTAAACTGAAAGGCAGAATTTCTGCTTGTGGTATCTTGAATGAGACAAGACTATAACTTTTGTAGGTATGCTTCCATATTTATTATTCTATGAATAAAGTACTGAGAATTTCACTTTGTCTATCCTAGGGGTCGGCAACGTTTGGCACGCGGCT